GAGGAGGGGACCAAGGACAGAGCCCTGAGGAACGCCACACGAGACGATGCTGGGGCTGGAGGAGAAACCGTTTGTGGAGATGAAGTGGAGGCCGTGTGAGAGGTACAATCTAAACCAGTCAAGGACAGAGCCGTGAAGATTGAGGTGAGAGGAGAGGTGGTGGATGAGGATAGAGTGTTCGACGGTGTCGAAGGCAGCAGAGAGGTCAAGGAGGACGAGGAGGCAGAGGGAGCCCTGATCCCAGATGGACAGAATGTCATTTGTCACTTTGACCAGGGCGGTTTCTGTACTGTGGGCGGCACGGAAACCCGATTGGAGGGGTTCGAGAAGGGAATGGCGGGAGAGGAAGGAGCAAAGCTGGGAAGCAACAACTCATTCCAGGACCTTGGAGAGGAAAGGGAGGTTGGAGATGGAGTGATAGTTTGAGAGTAGAGATGGGTCGTGGGAAGGTTTTTTTTAAGGATAGGAGTAATGATGGCGGTTTTTAATGGGGTGGGAACAGTACCAGAGCACAAGGAGAGATTTATGATGTCTGTGAGTAGAGGGGCAAGGAGGTGGAGCTGGGAGGTAAGCAGTGGGGTAGGGATGGGGGTCGAGGGAGCAGGTGGTCGGTTTCAAGTGGGTTTTAGCGGTGCTGAGAAATGAGTGGGTGACAGGCTCGAAGGTGCGGAGGGAGGGACGGGGGTAAGGGCCGGGGTGAGAGGGGCAGATCAGATGGTGGTGGGGGGGGGGGAAGGTGGGGGTAGGTAGGTAGGTAGACGGAAGGGCAGAGGCTGCTGAGGGACAAACAAACAAATCCTGGTTCCTCACGGTTTGTTTCCGAGGCTTTCGCCGGAGAGCAGAAAAAGATGTCGCGAGAAAAATAAATGTTACGGGCGCGACACGGTGTGACAGGTGCTAGTTGCCGTCACTGTTGTGCTGGCGCGTGGGATTGTCACCTGGGACGGCCCACCCAATACCTGGTGCTGCACACCTGGGCAGGGGGTCAGGTACTCGCGCTATAGGAGGGTACGGTTGGTGCTGGACGCCTGGGCAGATGCCCTCCCTTCTTGGCTCTCTCGCCCTCTCCCTCCCTCTCTCCCTCCCTCCCTCTCTCTCTCTCTCTCTCTCTCTCACACACACACACACACACATACACTCCCTCTCTCCCAGCCAGTGGGGAAGATGGCGCTTGGCAGAGGCTGGCAGTAGCTGTTGCGGGCTGGGCTGGCAGTAGCTGCTGCGGGCTGGGATGGGCTGGCAGTAGCTGTTGCGGGCTGGGCTGGCAGTAGCTGTTGCGGGCTGGGCTGGGCTGGACTGGGCTGGGCTGGGCTAGCAGTAGCTGTTGCGGGCTGGGCGGGCAGTAGCTGTTGCGGGCTGGGCGGGCAGTAGCTGTTGCGGGCTGGGCTGGCAGTAGCTGTTGCGGGCTGGGCTGGCAGTAGCTGTTGCGGGCTGGGATGGGCTGGCAGTAGCTGTTGCGGGCTGGACTGGCAGTAGCTGGGCTGGGCAGGGCTGGGCTGGCAGTAGTTGGGCTGGGCTGGGCAGGGCTGGCAGTAGCTGGGCTGGGCTGGCAGTGGCTGTTGCGGGATGGGCTGGTCTGGGCTGGCAGTGGCTGGGCTGGGCTGGCAGTAGCTGGGCTGGGCTGGCCTGGCAGTAGCTGTTGCTGGGCTGGGCTGGGCTGGCAGTGGCTGGGCTGGGCTGGGCTGGCAGTGGCTGTTGCTGGGCTGGCAGTGGCTGGGCTGGGCTGGGCTGGCAGTAGCTGGGCTGGGTTGGGCTGGCAGTAGCTGGGCTGGCAGTAGCTGGGCTGGGCTGGACTGGCAGTAGCTGGGCTGGCAGTAGCTGGGCTGGGCTGGCAGTAGCTGGGCTGGGCTGGGCTGGCAGTAGCTGGGCTAGCAGTAGCTGGGCTGGGCTGGCAGTAGCTGGGCTGGACTGGCAGTAGCTGGGCTGGGCTGGCAGTAGCTGCGCTGGGCTGGGCTGGCAGTAGCTGGGCTGGGCTGGGCTGGGCATGGTTGGCAGTAGCTGGGCTGGGCTGGGCAGGGCTGGCAGTAGCTGGGCTGGGCTGGGCAGGGCTGGCAGTAGCTGGGCTGGGCTGGCAGTAGCTGGGCTGGGCTGGCAGTGGCTGGGCTGGGCTGGGCTGGCAGTAGCTGGGCTGGGCTGGGCTGGCAGTAGCTGGGCTGGCAGTAGCTGGGCAGGGCTGGCAGTGGCTGGGCTGGGCTGGCAGTAGCTGGGCTGGCAGTAGCTGGGTAGGGCTGGCAGTGGCTGGGCTGGGCTGGCAGTAGCTGGGCTGGCAGTAGCTGGGCAGGGCTGGCAGTAGCAGCGCTGGGCAGGGCAGGGCTGGGCAGGGCAGGGCTGGCAGTAGCTGGGCTGGGCAGGGCTGGCAGTGGCTGGGCTGGCAGTAGCTGGACTGGCAGTAGCTGGGCTGGCAGTAGCTGGGCTGGGCAGGACTGGGCAGGGCTGGCAGTAGCTGGGCTGGGCTGGGTTGGCAGTAGCTGGGCTGGGCTGGGCAGGGCTGGCAGTGGCTGGGCAGGGCTGGGCAGGGCTGGCAGTGGCAGGGCTGGGCTGGGCTGGGCAGGGCTGGCAGTGGCTGGGCTGGGCTGGCAGTGGCTGGGCAGGGCAGGGCTGGGCTGGGCTGGCAGTGGCTGGGCTGGGCTGGCAGTGGCTGGGCTGGGCTGGCAGTAGCTGGGCTGGGCTGGGCAGGGCTGGCAGTAGCAGGGCTGGCAGTAGCTGGGCTGGGCAGGGCTGGCAGTGGCAGGGCTGGGCAGGGCTGGCAGTAGCTGGACTGGCAGTAGGTGGGCTGGGCAGGGCTGGGCAGGGCTGGCAGTGGCAGGGCTGGACAGGGCTGGCAGTAGCTGGACTGGCAGTAGCTGGGCTGGGCAGGACTGGGCTGGCAGTGGCTGGGCAGGGCTGGCAGTAGCTGGGCAGGGCAGGGCTGGGCTGGCAGTGGCTGGGTTGGACTGGCAGTAGCTGGGCAGGGCAGGGCTGGGCTGGCAGTAGCTGGGCTGGACTGGCAGTGGCTGGGCTGGGCTGGGCAGGGCTGGCAGTGGCTGGGCTGGGCTGGGCAGGGCTGGGCAGGGCTGGCAGTGGCTGGGCAGGGCTGGCAGTAGCTGGGCTGGGCTGGGCTGGGCAGGGCTGGGCTGGCAGTGGCTGGGCAGGGCTGGCAGTAGCTGGACTGGCAGTAGCAGCGCTGGGCTCCCGGTTGCGGCAGCTGGAGCGGCGGCTGATGGAGCGGCGGGTGGCGGTGGCGGTGGCGGTGGCGGAGGAGGAGGCGGAGGCGCACTCGGTGCCCAGTGGGGCAGCGGCAGTGAGAGGCGGAGGAGCCGCGGGCACTCACACACCGGCGGCCCGAGGGCACAGCGGCTGAGCGGCGCTCTGCACACACACACACACACACACACAGACACAGACACACAGACAGGGAGACAGACACACACACACACACACAGACAGGAGACAGACACACACACACACACACACACAAGGAGACAGATACACACAGACAGGGAGACAGACACACACACACACACACACACACACACACACAGACAGGGAGACAGACACACACACAGACAGGGAGACAGACACACACACAGACAGGGAGACAGACACACACAGACACACACAAGGAGACAGACACACACACACAGACACACACAGACACACACAAGGAGACAGACACACAGACACAGACAGGGAGACAGACACACACACACACACACACAGGGAGACAGACACACAGACACAGACAGGGAGACAGACACACACACACACAGGGAGACAGACACACACACACACACACACACAGGGAGACAGGCAGACACACACACACAGGGAGACAGACACACACACAGACACATTCAGGGAGACAGACACACACAGACAGGGAGACAGACACACACACACACACACACAGGGAGACAGACACACACACAGAGACACACACACACACAGACAGAGACACAGAGGGAGACAGAGACACAGACACACAGAGACACACACAGAGACACAGAGACACACACACAGACACACACAGAGAGACAGAGACACAGAGAGACACAGGCACATCTCAGCCTGAATACCAGCGCACAGCCTGAGACACACACACACACACAGAGACACACACACACACAGACACACACACACAGAGAGACACAGCCTGAGACACACACACACACAGAGACACACACACACACAGACACACACACACAGAGAGACACAGCCTGAGACACACACACACAGACACACACACACACAGACACACACACACACACACAGAGACACAGCCTGACACACACACATAGACACACACACACACATAGACACACACACACATAGACACACACACACACAGAGACACAGCCTGACACAGACACACACACACACATAGACACACACACACACAGAGACACAGCCTGACACAGACACACACACACACAGCCTGACACACACACACACAGAGACACACACACACACAGACACACACACACACAGAGACACAGCCTGACACACACACACACACACACACAGCCTGACACAGACACAGACACACAGCCTGACAGACACAGAGAGAGACAGAGACACACCGACAGACACACCGACACACCGACAGACAGACGGACAGACAGACAGGGGCTTCTGTTAACCCTCAAGAAAAATACCTTAAACATATTGTATTGTTTTTTTAAAAAATATATACAGAGAAAACGATCACAGAGAGAGAGAGAGGAGAGAGAGAGAGAGAGAGCGACAAAAGAGGCTCATTTTATAACCCGCAACAAAATACCCTTAAAAATATTCATTGGGGGGAAAAAAAATCAGAGAGAGAGATCGGGTTTATTTTAACCCCGAAAAAAGATACCCTTTTTATTTCTAAAAAAAAAGATATATTATATATAGGAAAAAGGTTACAGAGAACAGAGAGAAAGACAGACAGAGGCTCATTTGAAACCCCCCGCGAGAGAGAGAGAGAGAGAGAGAGAGAGGGGGAGAGAGAAAAAAAAACAACGACATATATGAATTGGGGGGAAAAAAAATAGTTATACGATATTGCATTCTATATATAAATTATTTATTTTATCCGCAAAATGAGGACGTGTTATTTATCGGCGAGACTGTTCCTCATCTCTGTGCTCTGCAATATCAGCCAAGGTTTCAGCTCCCACTTCGACCCCGGTGAGTACAGGAGAGAATTATACATGAACATGAGAGAGATATGATATAATATTTAATATGTGAGAGATGATATATATATATATAGTGTGTGTGGGTAGAGAGAGAGAGAGAGAGAGGTGTTTTTGTACGTGTGCATATATATGTGTGTGTGTGTGTGTTCTTATATTGTGTGCATATATATATGTGTGTGTGTGTGTTCTTATATTGTGTGCATATATATATGTGTGTGTGTGTGTTCTTATATTGTGTGCATATATATATATGTGTGTGTGTGTGTGTTCTTACATTGTGTGCATATATATATATGTGTGTGTGTGTGTTCTTATATTGTGTGCATATATATATGTGTGTGTGTTCTTATATTGTGTGCATATATATCTACAACACCTATGTATTTTGTGTGTGTGTGTTCTTTGTGTGGACTATATATATATATATATATATATATGTGTGTTTTTTTTCTTGCAGTTCAGATTCGTTGCTCAATTATTTTCTTCTCCTTTGTACCTCTGTTGTCTGAGCAATTGTCCTATATTTATATTTATATATATATATATACACACACACACACACACATGTATATTTCTATCAGAGAGAGAGAAAAAAATGAACGTCCTCTGGTCAAATAACCCTAATGATGATAATGATAACAATAACGGGTACCTGTCTCTGAGTGCCGCAACTTAACCCTTTATGTGATGGTCCCTTTCCTGTGTGTGTGTGTGTGTTTTTTATGGGGGGGGGGTCTTTATGGACGGTTTGAAATGATGGCTATGTGGGTGAGGGGTGGGTTGGGGGGGGTTGGGGGGTTGGAAGCACATTCTGGTCTTTAAACAGTGGGATGGGGGGGATGGGGGGTTAGGGAGGATGGTTTGGAGGTGTACGTGGAGTGTTTTGTGTGTGTGTGTGTGGGGGGGGGGGGGTGGTGGGGTTGGGGTGGGGGGGTGTGGGGGAAGATGCAGGAATGCAAATTAATATTGACACCAAAAATGCGTTTGGCACACATTCACACTCACACACACACACACTCACACTCACACACAGGGCTTGAGTGTGGCTGCGGGGAGGGGGGAGGGAGTGGGGGAGAAAGAGACAGGAGAGAGAAGATGGGGGGAAACGAGAGAAATAATATACACTAAAGGGAAACTATCGTATCGAATGCGAAAATGTGCATTGTTTTGATTTGGAAGCGATTTCCCACATCTGTCAGCTGATGGTTAACCAACCCCCCCCCCCCCCCCTCTCTCTCTATATATATATTTCCCCTCTTCCTTCTCTCTCTCCCCATCTCTCTTTCTGTCAGTCGTTATCTCCCCCCCCCCCACCACTCACCTCTCTCTCTTCACCCCTCTCTCCATTTCTCCCCCCCCCTGTATTTCCTCCTTCCCTTTCTCCCCCCCATCTCTCTCTCTGTCAGTCCCTGTCTCTCCCCCCCACCACCACCTCTCTCTATTTCCCCCCTTCTCTATCTCTCTAATCCCTCCTTCCCTCTCCCCCCCTCTCTCTCTCTCTCTCCCCATCTCTCTCTGTCTGCCCCATTTTCTCTCCCTCCCCCTTTCTCTCTCTCTCCCTCCCTCCTCCCCCCAACCCCCCCATTCCTCTGTGCCCCCCCACTCCCCACCCCCTCACTTCTCTCTGTCTCCCTTCTCTCAATATTTCCTCTTTCCCTCTCTCCCCCATCTCTCTCTGTTTGCCCCATTTCCTCTCTGTCTCTCTCCCCCTTTTTTCTCTCTCTCTTACCCCCCCCCCTCTCTCTCTCTCTCTGTCTCCCCCTCCCCTCCCCTCCCTCCCCAGCTCACAGCTGTTTGAGGACCACTGATGCAAAGATGGGGTTAAAAGACTTGGCTATTGGCGGCCGACGTTAGATCCGATGCGTGAAACACAGATCATCTCCTTCCCACATTGCGTGTTCGTGTTTCTATCAAATTGTGTGCAATCAATTATTTACAAATAGTTTCCCAAATAAAACAACTCGCTGTTTGCGATGTTTCACTGGTGGTGGTTGGGGGGGGAGAGAGAGGGAGAGAGAGAGAGAGAGAGAGAGAGATGGGGGAGAGAGAAAGAGAGGGGGTAAAGAGGGAGAGGATGGGGCACATGCAGATATCATGGGCTATAACCAAACACATCTCTCGTGTATGGGGCACTGCGAGTTTATCCACTGATGATTAATGGGTTGCAATCACTTGTTTCCATTTAATTTTTCCATCGCCAAAGAGAGGAGGAGGGATGGAGGAAGGAGGAGGAGGGAGGGAGAGGGGGGATTGTGTGAATGAGATTCTGTCTTTTATTTTCTTTGCTGTTTCCCCCCCCCCTCTCCCTAACAAAACGTGCGCTTCAATACTAAACGATCGCTTTTTTAAAAAATAAAATAATAATAAGGAAAAAAAAGATAACGGATAACCGAATAGCAAGGAGTCCAAGAATGCTTTTTTTTTGAGGGAGAGAGAGAAAATAAAAAGAAATGCATCTGCAAGAGTATATGTCCTGCTCCCCCACCCCCCCATTCCACCCCCCACCCCCTGCAAAAAAAAAACCATGCATTTGTATTTAATTTCATTGAGATAACTGCATTTTTTTTTAACCCAATTGATTTTGTTTTGCATTTGCAACCCCCAACCCTCACCATAATAATAATTATGAGTATGAATAACAATTCCTCGTGTGGGATTCGATAGCATCTCAGTGGGATTTGGAGGTGGGGGGTGGGGGTGGGGGGGGAAGAAAGCAGCGTTGATAGAGGCTGTGATTAAAGACAAGTCTGCAATAAAGGTGCATTTTTCTACCGCATCCCTCAGGCAGTGTTAGACATACTGTACCAGCCAGCACACAGCAATGACATCATTCCCTGTTGCCTCCTCTCTGGCATTTCTCTCTCTTCTCTCTCTTTCCCTTTTTTTTTCTCTCTCTCTCCTAAACCTTGCTGGGAGTTTGGGGCCTTTGCCTAGTCAGTTTGCAAGGCAAGGCACGTAGTTAGTTGCAAGTCAAGGCTGTGTGTGTGTTGTTTTTTTGGCTGTGCTGTCATTACAATCTCATCCATAACGTTAGCTTTTGCTGTTACTGTATAGCAGGTGCTTTCCTCACCCACTCCCCCCCACCACCCCACCACCCACATCCCACTGTCACTGTGTGTGTGTGTGTGTGTGTCTGGAGGATTAGCTACGCTTCCATTTTCTTTTTGCCCCCCTCACAAAAGAAGCTCGGGGTAAATCTTCTCATCAGTAATAATCCTTGCATTTGATATAGCGCCCTTTCACGTCAGGAGAACGCTTCAAAGCGCTTCACAGGGTTTACTGTAAGATGGAGGAACCGTGTGGTTTTGTGGGCAGCCGGTTTGCACACAGCGACGTCCCACATGAAAGTGAACTGAATGATCAATTTTTATTTGGGTGGGGAGGGGTTGTCGGCCAGGACACCGGGAGAGAGAAACTCTCTTCGAATAGCGCCGCGGGATCTTTAACGTCCACCTGAACAGGCAGACTGGTCCTCGGTTTAATGTCTCATCTGAAGAACGTCACCTCTATCAGTGTAATACCCCCCCCCCACCCCAGCACTGCATTGGAGCTTCAGTTTAGATGATGTGATTCCTAGTCCCAATGTGGGGCTTGAACCCACAACCTTCCCAATGATGTGATAAGGCATTCTATCAAATGTAAGGATTATTACCGTTATTAATAATAACAGTATGTGCATTAATAACTATTGAGGAATATCTGTGTAAGCTTTAATGATGAATCAGGAACCATCCTCTCAAGAATCTCCTTGCAGCATGAATCAGATGTGCTTCTAATTCCATTACCTTGTCAAGATGCCAATAAGGTTTAAAGCCTCCGCTTTGCATCTAATTCCAGTCGCAAGTGAAGTTCTTTGCAAGTACGACTGACGCATATATATATTTTTGGCTGTTAACTCTGCTGTGTTAAAATGCCAGCAGCTGTGAGTTGTGAGCAATATTGCATGTTCCACGCTCACGGAGAAAATGCTATCAGCCCTTCAAGAACAGGCTTGTTAAAGCATTTTTTTTGGTGGGTGGGGGGTCAGCTGGGTGTCTGACACATGCGGAAACCCATCACCATCCTTAAGAGTATCCAAAGCAAACTGAGAATTCCACCTACACATGGAATTGTAGGAATTGAATGCGCAGTCTCTCCTTAGAGGGACGCAGCCATCTTACTTAATCCATATTAGGCACAGGTTGGCAGGAACCAAGGCTTGGGGACCCCAGAGTGTGCGTTGGGCTAACTGCTGGAGTTTGACCAGCTATTTGTGCCATTGATAGGCACTTTTATTTGTGCATGTTGCTGTTAACAAAAGTGATTACAGTCTTTGTCATCTGTAAACTTTGAAGGTCGAATTCAAATCAATTTGCTGTGTATTGCTCCAGTCACCGTGACTTATTTTACTGTGTTGAGTACGGACACGGGGATGTGTCAACAGCTGGAATAGGTCACCAAGGAGAGGTCAGGATGTTCAACTCATTAAGGAAACAGCCCATAATGGGAGAACAGTAGGATAATAACAATATCATAATAATCTTTGCATCTGTAGAGTACTGGTTAGAGTACACGAGAGGACCTCGCAAGCGAGTGAAACCTTAGGCAAGTTTCCTTAAGCCACAAGCCTCTCTTTATCTAGCAGTACGGAGGAACCTGGTTGTTAGTCGATTGGTGGATCGCTTTTCCTGGGGTAATAATCCCTTTTAAAAAAAATTAAATAATTGGTCACTCAATCCACGACTGTTTGTGGGACGCAGCTGTGCGCCATTGGCTGCCGGGTGTCACCCATAAAATATGCAGTCAATTCGCTCTACATTATATTCTGTGAAGCGCTTTGAGACGTTTCAAAGACACGATCAAATGCAAGGATTATTATTATTATTATTACTTCAAGTCTCCATTGTCACCATTGCCCCACTGTCACTGGTCTCATGTTCACAATCAATCTCTTGACTCTTGAGGGTATAGCACAAACACAACTGCTCAGATCAGCACACCATTGATCTC